GATGGGAGGAAGGGTGGGATGGGGATGGGAATGGGGGGGGGGCACAGTGCAGTGCCCCATGGTGCCCTATGGAGCACCCTATAGCACCCTATGGTGCCTCATAGCACCCAGGGAACCCTATAGCGCCCTATGGTGCCCCATAGCACCCTATAGCACCTAGAGAACCCTATAGCACCCTATAGCTCCCAGGGAGCCCTATAGCACCCTATGGTGCCCCCTAGCACCCTATAGCACCCAGGGAACCCTATAGCACCCTATGGTGCCCCATAGCACCCTATAGCACCCAGGGAACCCTGTAGCACCCTATGGTGCCCTGCAGTGCCCAGGGAACCCCATAGTTCCCTATGGCACCCCATAGACCCCATAGCACCCCATAGACCCTATGGCACCCTATGGCACCCACTGTGTCCCCTGCAGGGGCCCCCCTGGACTTGCTGCGGCTGCTCCAGCTCCATTCCCAACCCGATGGGGTCCAGATGGTGCCGGGAATGTGCTCCCAGCGCGGCTCCGGCTCCGATGTATCGTATCGGATCACGCGCCCGGCACAGCTCAGCGCCCCCACGCGCCAGCTCTTCCCGGGTGAGTCCTGAGCCCCTTCCCCATGGATCCGCTTCCTGATGGATCTGCCTCCCAGTGGATCCATCACCCAATGGATCCGCCTCCCAATTGACCTGGTTCCCAATGGATCCACCTCCCCATGCATCCAACAACCCAATGGATCCAGCTTCCCAATAGACCCACACCTCAATGGATCCGCTTCCCAATGGATCCACTTTCCAATGGATTCTCTTCCCAATGGATCCACCTCCCACTGATTCCATCTCCCAATGATTCCATCACCCACCTCCTAATGATTCCATCACCCACCTCCCAATGACTCCATCCCCTCCATGTCCTCACCCCTCATCCATCCACAGGGAAATTCCCGGAGGATTTCTCCATCATGGCGCTGGTGAGACCCAAACCCGGGCTCCAAACCTTCCTCTTGTCCATCTACAACCAAGACGGGGTCCAGCAGCTGGGGCTGGAGCTCGGAGACTCCCCCGTCTTCCTCTATGAGGACCAACACGGGCTCCCGCATCCCGAGGATTATCCCATCTTCCGTGGCCTCCGCCTGGCCGATGGCAAGTGGGTACCAGCATCCTGGTGGTCCCCCCATCCCATCCTGATCCAACGGGGATGTCCCCACCTCAATGTGTCCCCGTAGGTGGCATCACTTGGCCTGGAGCATCCGGCGCCGCTCGGTCACGCTCGTTGTCGACTGTGGCCACCAGGAGACGCGGGTCCTGCCCCGGAGCTCCAGACCCACCATTGACACCAATGGGATCACGGTGTTTGGGACACGTCTCCTGGATGAGGAGGTTTTCCAGGTGTGGGAAACGTTCTTTCACCCCATTTCATCCCATTCTTGAGGGTCTTGGGTGGTTCTTTGGGTGCTGGGTGGTGGGTTTCAGCCTGTTTTGCCCCATTTCACCCCATGTTTCACCCTGTTTCACCCCATGGTGGGGTTCTTGGAGGTCTTGGGTGGTGGCTTTCACCCCATTTCACCCCATTCTTGAGGGTCTTGGGTGGTTCTTTGGGTGCTGGGTGGTGGGTTTCAGCCTGTTTTGCCCCATTTCACCCCATGTTTCACCCTGTTTCACCCCATGGTGGGGTTCTTGGAGGTCTTGGGTGGTGGCTTTCACCCTATTTCACCCCATTTCACCCCATTTCACCCCATTTCACCCCATTTCATCCCGTTCTCCCCCCATCGTGCCCCCCCATAGGGGGACATCCAACAACTGCTCATCTCCGATGACCCACACGCGGCATTCGACTACTGTGAGCTCCATGGTCCCCGTTGTGCCACAGCCACCAGGGCCCCCCAAGGCCAGGAACCAGCCCGGCAGCGCCAGCAGGTGGGATGGGATGGGATAAAGTGGGATTGGGATGGGTTGGGATGGATTTGG